CTAGATATACAGCAGCTTTGGACTCAGGCTGGTTATCAGTCCTCCGACAAGTCACAGAGGTCAAACATGTGCTTTACAAAGAAACGTCACCTGAAGTGGCCTCCAGGCAACAATTGACCAAATGCATATACCAGTACAAGCAACCAAAGGAGCAAGCAAAAAGTTGCCAGAAGTGTTTTACCAGCGACCAATTGTACAATAGCACATGATTCAAACTACATTTGATGTAAAGGATCACACAAAGGTTTTCCCTTACACTTATTGCAGATCAACAGCAGGAACCCACTGGGTTTCATGCGGTTGACAGGTGTGTGAAACGAAGGCATTACAGGTAAGCTGTACGGTACGCAGCCGCATTTAGGTTTAATAGTGCTGCGTCAAACCTAACGTGATGATAGTCCACAGTATATAATCTGTGTACCTTGTGCCGTGCGCCCGAAGTTGCGATTTGCACTTTAACCAACACTACTGCCACTCATAGCAACCATACACCCACCAGCCACACCCATCCACTCACCAAATCGATTCACCAGCTGCAAGACAACATGACTCAGGTATGCAGTCTCTAGATGATCAACCACCTCCAATCCACCCCTGCATGCTCTTCTCGATTACCCCCTTAATACCCCAAACCCATCAATCCCTTCTCGATCACCTTCCCCTAAACGTCGCCTGAAGTGTATTCCAGGCGAAGTTTGGCATGACACACTTATCTGTCAGTCTGCCCTTTCGTGCATAAGACAAGACCATCACTGGACCACCCAAACGTCGCCTGGAAAGCATTCCAGGCGACGTTTAGCCCGACACATGTATCTGTCAGTCCGTCCTTTTGTGATTTAGAAAGGAACATCACTGTAGCTCCTAAACGTCGCCTGAAAAGCCTTCCAGGCGACGTTTAGCATGACACACACATCTGTCAGCCTTGAGCTTCATAGCTGAGTCAGAAACTTAACTAGAGCACCCAAACGTCGCCTGAAAGGCCTTCCAGGCGACGCTTAGCATGGCACACACATCTGTAAGCCTTGAGCTTCATAGCTGAGTCAGAAACTTCACTAGAGCACCCAAACGTCGCCTGAAAGGCCTTCCAGGCGACGTTTAGCATGGCACACACATCTGTCAGCCTGGGGATTCATAGCTCAGTCAGAAACCTCACTAGAGCACCCAAACGTCGTCTGAAAAGCCTTCCAGGCGACGTTTGGCGTGACATATGTATGTGTGATGGTCTTGTCTTTTTGTGGATAACCCAAGACCATCACTCGAGCATCCAAACGTCGCCTGGAAAGCATTACAGGCCACGTTTAGCATGACACATGTATGTGTCAGTCTGCCCTTTGATGGACAAGACAGGACCATCACTGGAGCGTCCCAAACGTCGCCTGAAATGCCTTTCAGGCAACGTTTAGCATGACACACACATCTGTCAGAGTGGACTTTTGTGGCTCTGTGAAAAACATCACCAGTGCACCAAATCGTTGCCTGAAATCCTTCCCAGGCGACGTTTGGCAACACAGAGGTAGATGTTAGTATATATGTGGGTAGGCTTCATCATCAGTGTACAAGATGTGCGCAAACGTTGCCTGAAAATCATCACAGGCAAAGTGTGCAGTTCAAAATGAGGCTCACACAGAACACTCTCTCATTCAAACGTCGCCTGAAAGTACTCACGGGCGACGTTTAGTCAGATTTCCCAAATTACAACTTCTACTTGAATGAATCCGGCATGCACGGGCTGACAGATGCGTTCTCCCTCCACCAGGACAACCAAACAAGCCGCAGAGACCTAATGAGCAGACGCGGAGCCAACCGCACTCCCCACACATCCCAAGTGAGTTTACCCTCCGAAACAAAAACACTTGCAACAATGACTCACCTGACGGTTTGTTTTCTATATACCAGCACGGAAGCCAAGTCCCACCTAGTGGCACTGAGAAAAGTGGACCAGTAATTGAGGAGGCTGCAGTGAAAGAATCCCAAGCCGCGAGTCATGAAATACCAAGGTACTCAATCTTGTATCTGACAGCATGAAACACACCAGACTGAAGGCGCCGGCGGAGATGTACAAGACAAAACGGCGGGGAGCGATGACTGGCCTAGTGGAGAGGTCAGTGTGAACTGCTTTTGACCACCTGCACGTAAGTATGACTAAGTACCACCCACTGCACGTAATAGGAGGAACCGGAAATCCGCTCACAAGCAGTCACGGCCAGGGAAGAAAGTGACAAAGTAAGTCACCTCATACCTGACAGTTAACAGACATAAGCTGAAGGGTCTCACTTACACAGGAAGAGGAAGACTCCTCGTCCAACGAGGATGAGGACATCAAGCCTGTCACGGTAAGAGTTCCACCTCTGAATGAACTGTAAGTGAATGTTAACTGACATGGATATCACCAATCAGGTGCCCACGACGGCTAGTCAATCTTTCAAGATTGAGGTAGCCAAAGAGCAATACAGCCTAAGTGAGTGTATAGGTAGGTACCTGATGAATGAGACGAGGATCTGATCAAGATCTGTCAGTTCGTAATTTTTATAGTATTACAAAAGAAAACATCGAGGGTGTACTAGCCTCAAGTGATCCAGCTTTGATTGGCAAAGAGATCAACATGATGACCGCGACTCTACGCGCTATTCGGCAATCTGTCCGGCACAAGGAGAAAAAACTCAATGCTGCCATCAACGCAAAGCATCCTGAAGTCACCATCATCGAGCGTCCGATGAGCCCTCTCAATCTGCCCTCAATGAATCAACATCAAGAGGCAAGGCAAATCATGGACGTGCCACCAGAAGAAAGGACCAGTAAGTCATTTTTTGGACTTATTAATTCGCGCCAAACTGAGTAGACCACATACCTTACCTCATCAGTAGATGGTGGCCATGTCCAGCAGGCACAAGTTGAAGCGCCTGCAGCTGCGGATCGGCTTGGTGAGTTCACATGAAACTGTTCAAGCAAGAGTATGATCAGCTAACTAACAGGATGTAACCTTACAGAAGACACGAACCCTCCCGATGACATGCCTCGAGCTGACCCAGCGGATGACACCAGTGAGTTCACTCAAACATGAATGGTAGCCATATTTGTCCTGACCCATATGAAGTGACCTCAGCGTGTGTAGGAGCTACTTCGGCTGAAGACGCCGGACCAGACAAACGCAGCAAGGGTTTGAAATCTGGTGGGTATTCATTCCGCACATACCTGTACATACATACTGACCCAGTGTGTTGTCACGCACCGGTTTGACAGTGTCCACAACGAAAACTTCAACTGCCAAACGGATTCCACCGGCTAGCAAGATCAAAAGCAATGAATTCGTGGATGACGCGGATATGCCTCAAGCTTCGAATAAGACTACTATTGCTACAGGCAGTCATTTAGCTGAAGGCACCTCGACTACGCCTGTTGAATCAAATCAAGCCGGCAACTCAAAGTCATCCAATCCCCCTTTGAACGTGGCACAGGCCAGCGCAAGCGCCCCTACTCTCGACAATCCAAAGGCCACGAATGCCCCTGAAGAGATTGTAGTTGCAACTGATAAGCAGAAAGGCAAGGATCAAAAGAGCGCAAGCGGCGAAAAACAGCCCTTACAGCTCACTGTGAACAAGAATCATGAATTCCACAAGGCCAAACTTTATTTGGGTAGTAAGTGTACAGCTTCATTATCCAATTATTCAGTACTCTTTCCTTTGATTCCTCCTTTCACACACTTGCACGCACCAGCTGCACCAATTGTCGCCTGGAACGTATTCTACGCGACCTGTTGTCTTGATCTCTTCAACGTCATTCATTTCACTGGTCAATACGTGTGCGATTGTTGCACAAAAGGTCGCCTGGAACGCATTTCAGGCGACCTTTGTTCTATTCTTCTCTACGCTCAAACTCCCTGATCCCTATTAAGTGTCATGAGGGTTCGAAAGGTTGCCTCAAACGTATCATAGGCTACCTTTCGACTTAGTGGCTCATTAACTCAAAAACGCCCCAACACCTTATTCACGAAAAAGGGCTTGAACACAAATGTCGCCTGAACTAGCATTCAGGCGACCTTTGACATCCTCCACAAAAATTTTTTGCAATTGAATGTATTCTGACACTCATCTCGTTTCCCTTTAGATCTTTTGATGGATAAGAACAACGAAGAAACTCAGCGCATTCTTCAATTTGAAGATCAACTCACAACTGGCGCAATCAAATGGGGTGAAACTCTCAGTTACCTAGTTCGAACCATACTGCACGAGTGGTCTTACGACGAGTCTACCGAAGCCGGGAAAGCCAACCCTGACGATCTTCACAAGTTTGTTATGTTGATGAAAGACATGAGTGATGACGATAAGATGATCACACGTTTCAAATGTTGTAAGTGTATAAGTGACTCATGCAATACATGGATATACAAGAAGACTGACAGGACATTGCCTTGACAGCCCCTTGCCTGATGCAAATCCACAAGCATGACCCCATTTGGAGGCCCGAAAACGTCAATTGGCGTCTGATCCAAGCTGCGACGGAGTACCCGTGGAAACACCGCAATGCAATCTTGCGAGCCATTCATCAAATGACCTGCCGCACGGACGATACCGAGAAGTGGGCCACCAACATGGAACTAGCCAAGGATCTCCAGGGCGGATTTCGCGGTCTCTTGACTTGTCTTCAGGAAAGCCTAGATCACATCACGCTTGACACGGATCACAACGAAATCACAATCCGGACTGAGGGTGAAGATTCTGTGCACGAAGAGTTTGTCGAGTTATCCAAATGCATGGCATGGCTATTCCGCGGGGCCATGGTATCAGATCGTCCGGAAGTCGAAGGCAAGAAGCAGAGCTCTTGTAATCCTCACCGCGGATTGGCCTGGTTCAAGCGCAAGTTTTTCTTAGTGCTAGTTGGCGTTTTGATGGTGTACGAAGCCGAACAGCAGGACTTACGACTAGAACAGGCCGAAGAAAGCCGAAAGTCTCAGGCTGCGATTAAAGCTTTGAAGGCCAAGTTGAAAGACAATTCGTGCATCAAACAACTAGTCCGAGATCAGTTGAAGGTCAAAAAACTCGCGATCAAGGGTGCTGAGCAAGGTGCGATTGAAGGAGACGGAGCTCCCACCGATCGAGAATTCACACGAGACCTATCCGAGTTTTGACGTAGCGTTATGCAGCACTTGGCTGTCTTCCTGGCCTTTGGGACTGCAGGACTGTTGCATGTTTGGCCTGGATCTCATGACCAAAGCATGCACGAAGGAGCCCTGTTGATCAATTTCACATCACTCTTGGTCGGTCGTCGCAGGAGCAAGGTTGACGCAGAGGAGATTGATGAGGCGTGGGGTTACGGCTCACGAGCTTGGAATCACATGGACAATCACATGTTTAAGATCCTCAAGTTAGTCATGACGCGTGACAGAGTCTTCAGGTCTGAAGTCCACTGGCCCACCATGACGGACACCTTTCGAACCGAATTCAACTCCACAAAGCTGGCTCACATCCTCACACTCGATATCCAGTGTGAGATTTGCTTACCCGGACTCAGCCGTTCTCTGACTGGCAAAGTGGCACCCCCTGTCAAGGACAAAGACAAGGCACAGCAGCTCCTCAGACCGTCTCAGGTTCATTTCCAAAAGATGTTTGGGCCTACAGAAGGCGATTTACACCCAGTGCGCAACCGTGGCCAAGGACTTCATCCTGAGAAACAAGTTTCAAACGAAAACCCCTCAACTTCAACATTCACACCGCAAGCAAACGCGGTCTCTCAGCGAACTAAGAATCAGGCAACGGCTACTGCCAACGCAGTGCCCAAACGCCCTGTTGAGAGCGGTGGACCAGTGGCCAAGAAACGCAGAAAGCTGGTTAACGCGACAAGTGAAAAGGGAGGTGCAATTACAGGATCTCAACCTCAAGGAACTCAAGATGACGCCTGAGCTATGTCATGTATGTAGATTGCTTGTTATTGTTAGTACCAATGTAGTCTTTGGGATTTTTTGAGGTGATTTGTGTGTTGTCCAATTGTAATGCATGTCAAAGACAAGAATGTGTATGATCATATCACGAATCTCCTTTTGTCGCCCGAATATACACTCAGGCGACAAATGCCACTTGTGCCATTATACATCTGTGTCTGAATGTAAGGTGAGAGTTTTGGGATCTCCAGTCCCACCTGACCAGTTTTCATCACGTCGGTATGGAATTGCCCATATGTTGGCCGGGAACCCAAGGTGGCTAACTGATATCCCGTGTCTGATATGTTTGAGTGGTCCCATTTTGTCGCCCAGAAGCTAGCCTGGGCGACAAAAACAGTCATTGCCTGTGGCGCACCTGTTGATTAAATGTGGCCACATGCTTACTTTGTCATGGGGCCAGCATGTCACTGTAGGTACAGGTATGATGACACCAAATATGTAGGGATGGCCAAAGTAGGCATTCAACCCCTGGGTAACTAAACTTTCTTCAGATCTGTGGCACTGTAATTTCTGCATGTGGCTGTGATGAATATGACATGGATGAAACCATTTCATACCTTTTGAGGGAGTGACTGGCTGATGCCTCAAGGGCGTGTCAGTGTTGTGCTCACCCAGGGATATTGTGTACATATCATGATGACACCTTGTTCCAGTGATGTAGGGTGATTCATTATGTCCTGAGAGACTACACCAATGCTAGGAAAGATATACCATACCTGCCAGTCCATAGCCAACAATGGACTGGTAAGTAGTCTTGGGTTAGTTTATGTCATTTATGTATGGTGCCACAGTATATCTATAAACAGAAACCTGACAATCATAGTACATCAGAGGGAGCCATTGCCCAATGGGCAGCCGCCATGTGCGTGGCATGATATCCAGCCCACCCACATAAGACACACAGACTGGAACTTCAGAGTTCATGGCCTTGGATGAAAACTATTTATGAACAGGCAGAGGACTCAACCTCATAAAGTCAACGCAATCTACGTATTGCACACACATGAGTGCCTGCCATGAGAAAACCTTCCAACAGTCATGTGGAGCATGACTGCTGTCATACATCCGTCAAAGCATCTGGATTGACAGCTGTAATATGCTGCGCAATGCTGCGGCTAGCCCTAATAGGTTTAATCTATCACCAATTAGGTTAAACTCCCAATTAGTACTTCTACCTCCCAGGAATGGTCTCCAAAATTATACCACCTAACCTGCCTGCTGACACTCCGGCCGGAATTTGAAATCCCCAAAACTGGTAAAAGGTGTGCATATACCAATATTTTTAAAAACTGGGTTCCACTGCGGTGGACCGGTGGACTACATGACATCTGCTTGCTTGCGCTTGGTGACAGGGAGCAATGTGTCATATGTTTGACATGGCACAAGGCCTCACACACCCCTGTTGCGCATGTTAAACGGTGCTGACATGCAGTTACTTTTCTGGGCAGGCTCAACGTATTTTTGCTCTTCAAGGTTGGCTCAAGGTATGTAATCCCTGAATTCTGCTGGTCATGGAGGGAATATGGACAGTCCTACAGTTACTCACCCCATGCTTCAAATGTTCATTGGTGTTGAACTTACAATCAGGTAAGCAATCACCACCATGTGGCACACACGGTGGCCCTCAGACCTGTTGGAAGAGACGATGGGACAATACTGACAATTACATGATTGCTATGTTGCAGCCTGTAACACCAATATTGGATCTTACATTTACTGAACGTAAGCAAATCGTCGCCTGGAAGTCATTTTGAGCGACGTTATGATAGCTCATCGTGATTGTATTGATTTACCACTGTGTGTCAAGGTGTTCACAACCCTTACACCATTCAGCAGCTCCCAACACACAACAGTAATCCATAGTTTCAAGGTGTGTAACATAATTGTCGCCTGAAACCCACTTCAAGCGACAATTGGCTTGCTGACTGATCTTCTCTGGGTAGTGTACTGTATCAACCATTCATCAGTGTCCAGAAAGTCACGGAATCAAGTTCAATAGGAAGTAACACGCCATTGAAACCAATAAGAAACATGGGACGTGCAGATTTCACATGTGGCCCATGCGACCTCATCTTTGCCGACAAGACCAAAACAGACGAGCATCATCGACTCGTACATCAACAAAATGTGAAGGTTAAAACCATTCACGGCGAGGAAATCCAGATCCCCCGTGCCGCAGATGGGTTCTTTCATTGCCCAGTCACCGGATGCCAGCACTTTGTCAAAAACCCTCGCAACCTAGCCACTCACGTGAAGCGTTGTACTGGTCCAGCCCCGACCGCACCTCAGCGTCCTATACCCAACTTTGATGGGCAACAAGTGCGAGTTGTGCCATACGGATCAGATATCAAAGGTGAGCTATGACCTTGACGTAGACTAAGGTCAATACTAACACAAAGATCCCAATGGTAGTTGATGAGACCTTGAAAAAATATGACTTGGTGTGGAACCACCAATGCCGAATTCTCATATGTGCAACGTGTCACATTGGATTGCCCTTCAAAGAGATGCACACTCATCACATGAACGACGACCCCACCCGAGATGTCGACAAAGAAGTGATGATGGCAGAGCTGCAGGAATACGCACCATTGATTGCTGCAGGGCCTTTCCCTCCACATCATGTTGAAGGGCAAAAGGCCAAGCCCATCGAGGGGCTACTGCTTTACAATGGCTTTACTTGCAAGTTCTGTAACAAGTCTTGGAAGAACATGAAAAGTGTGATTAACCACTTTATAACTAATCATAAAGGTAAGTAGCTGGTATTTCAGCACAGGGCCATCATGGAAAACTGATAAACAGCCCATAACCTGTATCTTGCATATACAGATTTCTCCAAAGCACGCCTGAGGCGAGTCCACATCCAGGCAGACAAATGCCAAGGATTGTACGGTCATGTCCATTGACGGTGGTTTCCGGTCCTGCCTTACATCCGCCAACCAACTGAGTTTGACCTCCCACGCGATGCTGCCTCCCCCCACCCGACGACGAACGACCAGAGGCTGTGAACATCCTGCTAGAGAAGCTGACGGCGTGTGCAACCGAGGAAGCTGAGCTAGGTCCGGATTCAATTTTGGACAAGGATATGGCCAACTGGGTCTATGTTACTGGAATTTATACGTACACTCAAGGTTTATTGCGTAACGGTAAAACATGTGAAGAGCTGGTGGTAGCGGGAGCTGGCAATGAAAATGTGGAATCAATGGTGGCGTACATTGCTACTTGGATCAACAAAACCATGAAACGCTTGCATCAGACCGGCCAGTTATTGAAACGCATGTGCATGGCGGAAACCTCGTAAGTACCTACAGTGCTCATATCAAACCCCCCAGGCCAAATCTGATTACCCCAATTGTGTTGTTTCAGAGAATTGGAAGACAACAAAGGGCTCATGCCCTTGCAAGAAAAGGCCTCAGTCTTCAAGTATGCGCGGATCTCGCCACATTCATGTGGTTCCTGATTGAGCAGGCAGAGGAACCTCTTGACCCCAACATGGAGATCCACGATGTCACCAAAGCGCGAATTCTGGGGTTACGGGATGTTGTGCTACACTTGACTACACCTGATACGGACCCATCTCAACTAGATTACTTGCCTGCTGAGGACGATCATGTCTCTAGTCATGTCTCTGGCATTCTATGCTGTTTATTTCAAACTTATTGTGGTGGCTGGGCGCAACAATACCAGCTTCCACCCATGGCATTCATAGCTTTATCGGTATTTAAAGAAGATGGATCTTATGACAGCCCTAACTTGATCACCCACCTCATTGCTGCAATGCAATACGGAACTCGCCTTGCGTTTGCTGAGCAGTACCTCGATGAACCACGCCCACGGTTTGACCCAGCAGCAGACCCCACGAACCCCGTGGAGGACAACATGCAAAAATTCGAGTTTCTCCGCAAGGGTGGCCCAGGCGCTTTCAAATATGTTAGGCAGCTTATGCATTTAGTTAGTACAGTCATCTTATCTGAGGCGCTACCAGATACCACTTTTTGGGCAGATCACCAACACGAAACCCTGGAGGTCGATAATAAGTTAGTTACTGTTAGTGGCATTAGAGACTGTATCCATCTGCAACAGAAACGCGCACAAGCGGACTTGAGCACCCTTCTGAAGGGCTGCAAGATGCCATTGTTTGACACATCCTTGTACCATGATGTGGCCACTTGCAGGCAGCCAGGCACCAACTTCCTCAATCACTCGGAGTTGGAGCATGGCAAGTATGGACTTCATTTGTTGAAAGAATGGACACGGAAGAATGATGTTCATGGATTGTTAGCGGAGGGGTGGCAATCAAAGGTAGATTCAGGGGTGACAGTCTATGACAAAAGCATTTGGAAGGCATCTGCTGTGTGGGAATGGCTGGAACTGTACAACAACCTTCAGGAACGACTTTACTTCTTATATCACGTTGCATCAGGTCAGCCAATGCGGGGGACTGAGGAGGCATCATCCACTGCCAGCATTAAAGAGGTTCCCAGATGGGAATATGGGTCCTAGTGATCACATTCCCATCCTGCTACTGTTACACAGTTCCATGAATATTTCCTGAGTAGCCATTGTGATATATGTAGTCAATATTTTGAGATGTGTGGCTCAATCTGAACAAAGTTACAGCATGTATTACACATGAACTTCTTATCTAGATGAGCAGAAAACTGAGCGGACCTGTATGTAGCTGATAGCTAAGGATTTACTCAGATGTTTGCACATATGTAGTGTATGCTTTATGGCTCAGATGTGCAGTGCAAGATGATTTGATGCACCATTCTTCTCTCAATGATATTCCCAGCCTAGGTCATGTTCCGACCAGGGAACATATTTAATGCTGGCAGTGATCCTTATTGGTTAACACCAGACTAGATCAACGTAATCTTTATCTTCGTGGAGGGGCCTTTGTATTTCTGACATGGTACCATCAAAGCCGAAATATTACGGGGAAAAACAAACCCAGGATGACCTTCCTTCCCAAGAGCCACAGCTTTATATGGTTCTATTTTTTAGGCTTCCTACGACCAACTGCCATGTGAGCACAAAGAATCATGCAATGATTCACATTCACAGCTGACTGACCCAAAATTTTTGTGTAGTTTTTTCCTCAAAGCTCTTGGAAGGCCTGAGCGGGCTAGGGAAATGGCCACCAAAGTGTGGGTCAGTGCTTTGAAAGGGCCTATGGATTCTACGGAATTTTCAGCCATCCTCAAACGTCATTTTACAGAGGGGGGTGTGGCTCCTTTAGGAATCCAATCTTGGAGACATGTCTCCGTAGCAATTGTTGATGCGCACATCAAGCTGCATCGCAGCACCCTTCTGGAAGGCGAAGACGACATCATTGATTGTCAAAGAGGCCACAGTACTTTCACAGCCAATTCTGCCTATGGCGGCACGGGAGGCTACCATGTGGACCG